CGAATGCAAAAACGTTGAATTTGAGGTGTGTGTCAGGCAGCTTGATCAGTGGCGCACGAGATGCGATGACGATGTAGGAATCATTGCATTTTAATGCTTTTTTTAGCCTATCCAGCTGAACCCACTAGATGCAGCGCTGCTACGCTGTTCATTCAAAATACTGCGGGAAAAGAGAACATCAATGTGGAGAAGATGTTTACATCAAAACTCAAGCAGTTTATTTATTGCATTTTCTAGAGGGACATCTATCAGCGTTGCACTCGCGTCTCGCACAAGAGAGACGCATGTTTAGAAAGCCATGGAAAATTAAGGTCAACTTTTAAAAAAACTATCTCGAGACTTTGAAAAAAGTACTCTTTGTGATTGGTTTTCAGTCCTTTGTATTAAACTGTACATGCATGCATGATGCTGTTTTGTTTCTAATTGTTTAAGCAACTTAATGATATATGTTAGGGATGCACCGAATGAGAGAAAGAGCGAATAAATTGTACCGAACAATGACGTGACGGGATTAAATAGAGGCACGCACTAATGCTGCAAACATGTCGGCAGTATGAAAGTATTTAAAACTGTCGGAGAAAGACGCAAAAATCATTACAAGCACCGACAGGCAGAGACCGTTCAGCACTGCATCTGCTGTCAGCTAAAAGAAGCACTGAGGTCTTCCTGGAGGTTTCCGCCAAAATAAAAGCTCCATCAACATTCATAAATGTTAGGATTGTAATTTTACGGTTGTTCTGTAAAATAAAATAAAAAAGTAAGACAATAATAATGATGATTATTAACTACAGCAGCTATATTAATACATTTATTATAACATTCACACATAGTGTTCAAATCTGTAATAGATTTGTATCTGTGGGATCTGAAATATATTCTAAAGTTGTAAAATAATTCTCTTCTGCTCAGCAAGGCTGCATTTATTTGTACAGTAACAAATACACGCCTGATTCAAGAAGGGGCTCGCAAAAATGACCAAACTAAATAATTTTCCTAACTTATTAATTTTAAGTTAAATTGTGCTTTATTGGTATAACGTCTGCTAGAATGTTAAAAAATGTTCAGTGTTAAGTAAATATTTCTAAATCGTTGTTTTGTAATTTATTTTTTTCTTTGAAAAGCAAGACAAAATAGTAAAAAGCTAAATTTGGGTATTTTTTAACTTATGCAACATTGAAAAACTCTATACATGGCGGAAACCGTGTTCAGTATTTCATTTTGTTCGGCGTCGGCCAAGAATTTTGTTTTCGGTGCATCCCGAATATATGGTTTATATACATTATTTGAAACATTATGCATTTTTTTCAAAGATAGTCATGTTATTTTATTGCTTTGAATAAACGTGCATTAGTAATATTTTGCTCGATGCGCCCTCTTGTGGCCTCGAGAGAGAGAGAGAAGCCAAACGCTTTCACCCCTAGCTGAAATCATGCCTTTTAAATTCAAATATAATTTGAATATTGAGAATATTGAAGTACAAAATCCAAATGTAGTTTTTCAGCCATTTGGACAGCCCTAGTTGATACTGACGACAAACGTTGTGTCGGTCGGCTCCGAGGATGAGCTTCTCCACACACTAATGCTTATTTCTGAAGAGTCTCGTGATGTCTGTCAGCCAATCAGAACACAGCATTGAGCTGCTTTCTAATGAGTTCGGTGTCTGTCTCTTTCTTCTTCTGCAGACCGTGAGCCGTCACTTCCGCAATATTCCAGTCAATGAGAAGGAGACGCTCACGTACTTTATTTATATGGTGAAGAGCAGTAAAAGCCGGCTGGACCAGAAATCAGACGGGATCAAGCCAGTGGAATGAAGCTCCCTCGGATCTGTTAGCTGGCTTCACAATTCCTCTCTGAATGCTTGCTGTGTTTGTGTCCATACGGGAGTCTCTTCAGTCGCGCGCTTGTGTAGTGATGATGATGATGATGATGACCCACAGTAACATCAATATAACATCAATATCACGCTGATGCTCAGATCTCACTATTTATCCAGCCAGGACCTGATTGAAAGCATGACAGAGACTGAATGACTGCAGATTTTCTCCTCCCAGAAGAGCCGGAGGTTTCCGTTTTTCGTTTCTTTTGTGTTCGTCTGCTCTGTGACACAAACATGCCTCTGCTTTTATACGACCGCTGCATATCTATATAGCTTTTTTTGTAGATTATAATGTTAGTTTCCTTCCTTCCTTTGTTTGGAGTAACTCGTCTAAATACAGTTCTTGTGGCACTACTCGTATTAGGACTGATTGTGTGTAAATGTGTCACGCTCCAGCTGTAAAATCAGCTTATATTTCAGGATAACAGGACATCAGACGAAAGAATATGAATAATATCGCTCAGATATAGTCTGCTGAGACGCGTGAGCCTAATAATAATGATGATTATTAACTACAGCAGCTATATTAATACATTTATTATAACATTCACACATAGTGTTCAAATCTGTAATAGATTTGTATCTGTGGGATCTGAAATATATTCTAAAGTTGTAAAATAATTCTCTTCTGCTCAGCAAGGCTGCATTTATTTGTACAGTAACAAATACACGCCTGATTCAAGAAGGGGCTCGCAAAAATGACCAAACTAAATAATTTTCCTAACTTATTAATTTTAAGTTAAATTGTGCTTTATTGGTATAACGTCTGCTAGAATGTTAAAAAATGTTCAGTGTTAAGTAAATATTTCTAAATCGTTGTTTTGTAATTTATTTTTTTCTTTGAAAAGCAAGACAAAATAGTAAAAAGCTAAATTTGGGTATTTTTTAACTTATGCAACATTGAAAAACTCTATACATGGCGGAAACCGTGTTCAGTATTTCATTTTGTTCGGCGTCGGCCAAGAATTTTGTTTTCGGTGCATCCCGAATATATGGTTTATATACATTATTTGAAACATTATGCACTTTTTTCAAAGATAGTCATGTTATTTTATTGCTTTGAATAAACGTGCATTAGTAATATTTTGCTCGATGCGCCCTCTTGTGGCCTCGAGAGAGAGAGAGAAGCCAAACGCTTTCACCCCTAGCTGAAATCATGCCTTTTAAATTCAAATATAATTTGAATATTGAGAATATTGAAGTACAAAATCCAAATGTAGTTTTTCAGCCATTTGGACAGCCCTAGTTGATACTGACGACAAACGTTGTGTCGGTCGGCTCCGAGGATGAGCTTCTCCACACACTAATGCTTATTTCTGAAGAGTCTCGTGATGTCTGTCAGCCAATCAGAACACAGCATTGAGCTGCTTTCTAATGAGTTCGGTGTCTGTCTCTTTCTTCTTCTGCAGACCGTGAGCCGTCACTTCCGCAATATTCCAGTCAATGAGAAGGAGACGCTCACGTACTTTATTTATATGGTGAAGAGCAGTAAAAGCCGGCTGGACCAGAAATCAGACGGGATCAAGCCAGTGGAATGAAGCTCCCTCGGATCTGTTAGCTGGCTTCACAATTCCTCTCTGAATGCTTGCTGTGTTTGTGTCCATACGGGAGTCTCTTCAGTCGCGCGCTTGTGTAGTGATGATGATGATGATGACCCACAGTAACATCAATATCCCGCTGATGCTCAGATCTCACTATTTATCCAGCCAGGACCTGATTGAAAGCATGACAGAGACTGAATGACTGCAGATTTTCTCCTCCCAGAAGAGCCGGAGGTTTCCGTTTTTCGTTTCTTTTGTGTTCGTCTGCTCTGTGACACAAACATGCCTCTGCTTTTATACGACCGCTGCATATCTATATAGCTTTTTTTGTAGATTATAATGTTAGTTTCCTTCCTTCCTTTGTTTGGAGTAACTCGTCTAAATACAGTTCTTGTGGCACTACTCGTATTAGGACTGATTGTGTGTAAATGTGTCACGCTCCAGCTGTAAAATCAGCTTATATTTCAGGATAACAGGACATCAGACGAAAGAATATGAATAATATCGCTCAGATATAGTCTGCTGAGACGCGTGAGCCTCGTCCAAACACAAATATGTGTCTCTAGAATGTGTTGTTATGGTGGAAACTTGTATTTTTTAGTATAAACTTAAGCAGTTTACCTACGATTTTATATATAAGTAAAACCGAAGCATGACATCAGAGCAAATACACAATTGTTACTGTGATTTTACGTTTGAATTAAAGGATTAGATTGCTATTTGACACTAGTGATCAGAACAGACTGTCTGATGCAGAACAGAACTGAAGAAGCAGTGCTGGAGGAATGGAGGAATGGAGAAAGACGTTTAGGGTCACTTCTGTTACGCAGTAAGCCTGTATTTTCTCTTATTTGGCTTGGTACATACTGGAGAGGATATTAAATTCAAAAAAGTGTTTAAAAGTCATTAATATAAGACCATTTGTGGTGAGAAAGAAGCACAAACATTAGTAGAACAATGCGTTTGATGAATGCACAGAAACTGCTATTAGAGCTAAATCGCTTAAGAACTCATTAATTCCCGTTTAATAGAATTTCTCTGTTTTTCAGATGTATATTTCTACTTGCAAAGTAAACATGCTTTAGGGTGTTTACATGCGTTTACTGGAAACAATAGTATTCCTCACTATTAAAACTCACGTTTTAGTTTTACTTCATTTTAACCAAACTGTTGAGTTTATTGTAAATGTTAAACTGTTGCTGAAATATTAGAATAATTCCCATAACTAACGTAATTTTAGTAAAATGACTGAATGTTGCAGAAGCGTTTCTCTTGGACTGAGGATTCAACAGAGGCCATCTGCTTCAGTAGAATTAAGGTGACGCGTTTAATTTAAGTCTAATTTTCCTCCTTTTTTTTTAAATGAAACGCCTTCAAATGTATTAGAATAACATGACCGAACAAAAACAAAAAAAATCTACCCAAATTTTGTCCACTGCCCAATCGAAGCGGCGGTGGACAAAACTGGTTCACCTTTCTGAACGAATCGGTTGAATAAATGACTCAGTGATTCACTCAACTGAGTCAAATGCTGAGTTTGAATGAATCGGTTGAATAAATGACTCAGTGATTCACTCAACTGAGTCAAATGCTGTGTTTGAACGAATCGGTTGAATAAATGACTCAGTGATTCACTCAACTGAGTCAAATGCTGAGTTTGAATGAATCGGTTGAATCTCAGTGACTCACTGATTAACAGTCACTTGCTGCCACCTACTGGCGGTTTTAATTTCACATTTCCACTATTTTTTCATGTTTTCAATTATTTCAAATATCAGTATTCAACGTTTATGTTAAAAACAAAACATTAGGCCTATTTATGCATCTGTCACTGCAGGTTAAATGCATCCATGTCCCTCTGAGCTACACAAACTGTGTAAATACATCTAAATGCTATTTCAGACGCAGATTCCAGAAATGATTTCTTACGCTGGAATGAAAGACACTGAGTACCGGATGAAGTGCTTCTTATTCTTACCCACAAATAAGACAAGAAATGGAAGAAAGAGTTAAAACTGAACACAATCTTGCTACTCAAGCTGTGTATGAACATTTATATATATATTTATTTGCTGCTTTTCCATTTTGCATTTACTTGTACTTTTACTTTCAATACTTGAGTACATTTAAGGCAAAAAAAATACTTTTCATACTTAAGTACAGTAAATATCACATACTTTAAGACTTTTACTCCAGTGCTATTCTAAACGCAGACTTCAGCTTCTACCAAAGTCATTTTCTGGTCAGATATCTGTACTTTTACTTGAGGATGGCTTTCAGGCTCTTTATACACCACTGCATTAATGATATCAACTATTGTTATTTCAGCTAGTGCTAACTAAATTGTTGATATCAAAAATGCATATGCTGGACTGATTAACATTCAGATTGTTACAGGAATGGGGTTTTAATAAAGCTATCATCTCATAAAGAAATAACAAAAATACAAAGAAGGGGATTCCAGATGTATTTGATTGTATTTTAGTATTTCAGCAGAAAAACAGGTGGTAGTGAATTTGGCAGTGTGTGAATATTTCTGGTGACGTTTATGTAATCTCTCAACACAATACTTTTGTGGGGTGCGCCTGAAACAGTGATTGTGCCTGAAGTCGTCTTTCACACTCGAGAGAGTCGCTAATGCTGGAGAGACTCGAGGACGAGTGAATAACTGCGTGTTCAGATTTGGGTGAACTGTCCCTTTAATAAAATGAAGCAGCGGAAGTTGTCATCGTGCCGCCGGATGTGAGAGCGTCTGCGACGAAACCATGGGACGAGAGTCGCGGTAAATATTTCTATGTTTATTCAGCTTCATTTTTAAACGTTTTAATAAGTCTTTTATTAAAAATGGCAAACATGTATTATGAAGGTGTTATTAAAACCTCTGCGGTCTTAAACAGCGACGTAAGACTGTTTGAGTCAGATTGAGCTTCTACTCGACCAACTAGCTATCTAATGTTAACTGCTTTTATTGATAACATTTTCGTGTGTGTGTGTGTCTCTCTCTCTCTCTCTCTCACACACACACACACACACACACTCACTCTCT